CCGGGAAGGTGTTGTGGCCAAATATGCCTGACGAAGGCGCTTCCCAAAGCTCTCCCGGTTTTGGCACGGAAAATGGGGAGAACCGGGAAAACGGAAACGCGGAGCCCACACGCGCCGTCCCTTTCCTCTCGCTCAAGTTTTCAGATCCCTGCAGCGCCGTGGGTTTTTCTGCCTGCAAAGCCCTCTCCCGATAAACCCTCATTCCAGGCGTTCGCTGTGCGTGGGATAATTTCGGGACTGGTTCGCTGGGACACAGATGCCATCTTTCTAATTTAACATTAATAATTAGCTTCATTAGTGCACCTCTGAAATGTAATTCTCAAGTGCTTTGCCGAACGCTTCTTTTGGTCAGAATGCTTGCCTTGCCTTTGTTGTTTTTTTTTTTCTAATTGTCTCCTACTTTAGTTATACTTTAAGTTAAGTTCTTATCTTGTGACCCAAGTTGGAAAACAGGAAAGTGGTGCATGTGTGGAGGTCTTGTTTACTGCTAGTTAGCACAGACCCTTTTAATGAAATTGGTGCATTATTAGTATTATTTTTAAAGTAATATTCTTCTCTTTGTTTTCTTTGGACAGTGTTAATGTGCCGAGGGAAGGCCATGCAGGATTTTAAAGGTCCAGATTGTCGTTTTGTAAATTTTAAGAAGGGAGAAGCGGTGTATGTGTATTACAAGCTAATAGGAAAATCAACTGAGCTTTGGGCTGGAAGTGTAAGTACTGTAAAGCATTTCTTCTACTTGCTTTTCTTGGCACTTTCTCTTGGTAATCTGTTTTCCTTCCTTTTGCCTTGTAAGAGAATGCTTGGAGTTTTAAACGTGGCTAAATAATATAATGTTTTCCCTTGAGACCAGTGAGAAATGGGATGCAGTTTGGTCAAACATAAGTGCTGTGTGCTAAAAACTGTTAGAAAACTGCCTTTGTGTTGGAAAATTCCCATGGCAGCACTGCCAGGGTGGCCATGGGCCTGACTGCAAGCTGAGCCTCCTTTCCCACCTAGGGAGGCTTCAGCCTGGCACTTGTGTTTTCCCATGACGTGGTCTCATCCTGCGCTCTGTAATCCTGCTAAAGATCATTCCATGTACATATTTTACTTGCACATCTCTTCCCAATATTCAGCTGCCTCCTTCCCCTTTTTATCTAAGCAGTATGCAGAGTTGGGGGGGGGGAAGCAGTAAAGCTAAAAAGGATTGAAGTAAATTTGATTTTTAAAAGGTCTGTCTCTCTCAGCTGCACTGTAGCAGCTTGCAGAGTAGTGGCCTTGCCTGAGTCAGTGTCTTTGTGCAATCTGAGAGGCTGCTGCTAACATGAAAGGAACGTCCCCATACTTGCAATTATTTCATAGAAAACTCCTCTCGGCTTTCATAAGCACCTGATTTGCCTGACAGAAGCAGAACTGAGATACTTGGAAGGCTTCCCTTAAAAATGCTGGCAGTTAGGAGGTTGCTTAAACCCAGTCCGTGTTGCTCCTTCCCATGCTTCTCCTAAGTCCTTTATTTTTATTGTCTCCGAGTTGTTTACTTTAACCTCCTTTCTTACCCTGGTCTTCTACAAGGGATAGATGATTGTGACAGTGGTCTAGGCTGATTGAAACTACACCCGCGTGTTGACTGCGGGACTAGTGGTTTAGTGAAAATCAGTATGTATCACTTTCTGTAACCACTTCAGGCTGGGCGTGGACAGCCAAACTCTCAGCCGGAGCTAATCCAATTAGAACGATACAGAAGAGAGCAGAAAAACTGCATAGTGTGGTTAAAGATGAGTTTATAATTGTAGCATGCTGGTAATTCCCTTCTGACGTACTGTACCATAAATAATCTGGTTAATTAGGTGGTACAGGTTTCCAGGGCTGCCAGTTCTTGAGACAGAGAGTAGCAATGTGGGGCAAATTTTGCATCTTCCATCGAGGTGTAATGTAGGCTGAAAGACCAGATGGCAGGTTAAGGTAATTGCTGAGTTAATATTCAGTTTAATTTTTCACTGATAGGAAGCTCATGCAACAGGTGTGTCTCCAAGTTAGAAGGATGTTTGCTTTGAGTTTTAACAAGTAAAAGCTGAAGTTGGCAGGTCTGAAAGAATTGCAAACCTCCATTTTATATGTTGTCATTTTTCAATTGTGTTACACTATTTTCAATGTTCCTTTCATGGCAGTGCTGACAGACTTAACTCCTTTTGGTTGGTGGCTATAATCTTTATTTATTTTTTTCCATGGTTTGTTTAACTGCTGCTGCATTAATTGTAGTATTGCAATGACCACAGTTGAAGCACTGCAGCTTCAGCAGGTCGGGGTGCCTGCCCTTGCACGTTGAGTAGGGCACTGTACATTGAGTCTGCTCCTGTGCCCTGACTCGCAGATAATGCTGGAGTCTCTCTCCTGCAGTGTGATTTCCCACACTGAGCATCTTTGGCTGAGCATCTTGACTTCCCATGCCAGGTTTGGCTGGGCAACTTCATTTATGCACACCAGCCATGCCTGCTGTGTGCAGTCTTGGAGCTAGAGGAAAACTGTTGCTTGCTGATTAGAAACAGGCTACCCAGTGAGGTCTGCCATCTAAAGAATTCCAACAGAAGGCATGTTACCTTCTGCCACAATCCTTTTGGGATCTCATCCCATCACTTCATGTATGCATCACTTAATCCCATGCATCTACTGCCTTTTTCCATTCCTCAAAGTTTTTTTGGGAAAGGATTTATTAGGGCATAATAGAAACTGTGAAATTGAGGGATAACTGAGATTCTGATCTTCAGGTGTGGGCAGAGGTTAGGGCAATGTGTGTATGAGGAGCTCCAACTACTGCAACCCAGGGCTTATTTCAAACAAGTTTTACATACAGACTCTAATTTTTAAATCGATTTGGAGGAGCAATGAGAAATACAATAGTATTTCTGACGTGAAGGGAGATGATCTGGTAAGAAAAGGAGCCTTTCACCAGTGCTGAAAAATCTATAGCAATTGTGTCTGGGCTTTATTTGCCTTTGCTTTTCTAATTCACTCCACCCTTTTCAAGCCACTGTTGATTTATTGTTTTCTTTTGCCCTGTGCCAGCAAAATGTGATTTTGACAAAACAGGTCCTTTATTTTATGATCCCAGTCCTGTATTCTTTATTGCTTACAGAGCACACACTGAGCTCAGTGGGTATTTTGCATGTGAAGAATTTCTGGAACCCAGTTGTAATATGTATGCTATATATTACATGGCCTGCAGTTTGTAGCAGAGCTGTCTAAACCTCATTAATTAAGTAAAGCCAAATACTTGGACAGTATTCTACTACCATTATTTAACAGTAATTTTAAGTTATGAATTTAATGAATATTTCAGTTCTAGGAAAATGCTTGATTTCCATTTTTTTTGCCCCCAAAGCCAAAAGGTGCACCAAAGGGCACTTCAGGTACCCTTGTTGTCCATTGCACTGTGTCCTGCTCTAAAACCAATCTCCTCTTCAGTACCAAACTTGTGTTGCTAACACCATCAAGTTGTGTTATGTAGACTCTCCTGTGCATTTCTCCTGCCCTCACTTTGTAGCAGAGTCCAGATCTCTAAAAGTACTTCGGATAATTCCAGGTAAAAACTGCTGCTCTGCTGCTTTTTAACAAAACATTTTGTCAAAGGCACTTTAGATTCTTGCTGTAGAAGATTGTTATTTTATCTGATGGCAAAGGGATGAACTTTATGCCTTTGCTTCAAGGTCAAGGAAACTGTTTCTGGCCCCACATTACAAGATGTGGACTTGACTGCACATTGTGGCTTTTTTGGGTGGTTAGTTTTGGTCTGGGTTTTTTTTCTTTTGTTTGTTTGTTTTCCAATCTTGTACATAAGTTAGTAAAAAGGAAGACAGGAGGGGTAAAATTAAGGTAAGACAGAGTATGTCTGGTAGGCTCAGAGGATCAGGGAATTTTTTCTTGTTGTTTCTGTGTTTTCTCATTAACATCAGCATTCAGCAAGGGCAGATCAAACCAGCTTTTCTTTCCCCAGTCTTCTCCACCTTTAGGTACGTGTGATGTCTGGGCTTTAAGACTAAAAACATTTGAACATCATCTTTCCCAGATATTTGGTTTCTGTCACTGAGGAAGGTAGTGTGAGGGTCTGCCTTCTTGGTCAGTGAATCTGCCACAGCTGTCACATGTGGGCACTGGTGGGGATAAATGCTGTACACACAGCTATGTGTTTTGTCCAGACACAACACTATAGCTGTGAAGAGAGTGGAAATGAAGGATGCACCTTTTTCCTTCCTAATTTACTAGGCAGTCACAATGCCTTTCTTCTGTCATGTGTGTAGAGAATGAAGACTATTTCCTTTATTTTCACAATGAGGAATTTTTCCCCTTACAAGCAAGGACTCATAGGGAGAGCAGCAGATGAAATTTTGGGCATGCAGTTCCCATATGGCTCATAAACTACAGAAGTGGCAAACTGGATCACTGCAGAGGACTTGTATGGTCAGCAGCTTGGTGTACAATAAATGAGTTTCATATTGTGATGCTTGATTATAATGGGAATCACAGAGATTAGTCTATAAGGAGAATGCTTTGAAGCTTTGGCTTTTATTTTCAGAAAGGTAACTCAAAGCTGGAGTAGAAGCTTGGAGGGAGAAACAAGCCAATTTAGAATGAAACTGTAGTATACCACACAAGGACAAGCTTTTGATTTAACCTGACTAATTTCATTTACCATTCCTGGTAATTCCCAGTAATAAACCTGCATGCATTATTTATTTTCTATAAGAGAGTCTATGTGTTTACAAAAGGTGGGGAGGAAACAGTTTGGGATTTTTATGATATATGTGTAATTAGCTTCAGAGATACCAACTATGGGAGGTAACATTTGAATGAGAAATAGTTTGAAAAAGGAAGCCCTATAATGTATGAGTCCTTACTCCATTAATAAGTACTTCAGTACTTACTAATTCAGTCCAGGTTAACCTATTTCAGTGACATCAGTGTAACAATACATATATCTATGTATACTTAATTGTTTTGACATAACTGCTTCCTTTTTAAATTTGATCTCTGAGTGCTCTTCCCAAACACACCCTTCAAGAAAATTGGCAATTGTCACCTTTCTTCTATAACAAATCATTGAGGAAATGACCAACATTATTTTTCCCCCTGGATATTTTGGTCATCTAGGAATTCTGTACCTTTCTAGGTGTGTCAACCAGGTTCTAATTACCTGAATTATCTAATCTGTGTAGTGATAGCATGCCATTAATATTGGCTTCTTGACAGCTGTTGTCAGAACTCTCAAGCGAGAGCATTATTGTGTAGATCTTATCCAGTGAGTGATAAGAGAGATTCTTGTCTTCCACTGTTTGCCTTAGCTTAGTGCATGACTTGTTTGAGAATACCTACCTGTGACTGATTTTCGCTTGTGTTAGGCACTGAAGATCAACGCTGAGGGGGTATATTTTCCACACAGGTTTTTAAATGATTACTGCCTCTGGTACAATTTTTCATTTTCCTGCAATCTGCTTTAAGAATTTATTTTTTTCCATAAGTTACAAAGTAAGTATAGTTTAGGCCATAATATTACACATGGATATAAGTCTTATCAGTCAAAGATCCTCTTCTGCTTGCTACTTGAGAAAATCCTCTAGGTATTTATGCACCACACATGTAAGAGTGCACAATAGTAGTTAAAGCACATGGGGCATAATGCTTGGGCTTTATTCCCAATGCTGCTAATAATTGGCTATAAGTCAGGCTTTAAAACATGAGCAGTAAAACGTAGCAAATTCACAAGGCTGTTGTGAAATATAAGTATAAAACCTCAGTGAAAACTCTTGCATAAACAAGTATCGCTGGTCTTTTTCTTTGGTTTGCTGTGCTAAACTTCATTTGGAAGCACTTAAGAGCGAGCTCGATGTTTGTTACTCATGTCTGTAATTAGGATTTTTGACATAGTCACATGATTTCTAATGCTTCTTTATTGCTTTTTGCTTGCTTGTGTTTTGGTTTGTTTTCTGGCAGGTTGGAAGTGATTTTGGATATTTTCCAAAGGATTTACTTGAAATAAATCATAATTATTCCAATGAGGAGCTAGAATTACCAACAGATGTAAGTCTTTTTTTTTTTTTTTTTTTTTTAATTTGACTTCTAAATGTTTCTTACCTCAGCATTCAGTAAAATCCCTAAGGAGGAGAATGGGAATATCAGTGATCTTTAGTAATGTTTTGTTGGTAAGCAGCTACGTTATGTGCAGAGGTACACATATATGTCAGGGTGTGGAATGTTTGTGGTATGAAAATATCGGCCCAGAACATGGGCATTGATATTTCTTTTCTTGAATGTTATGATTTTTTTCCTAATGAAATCTGTTTGGATGGAGCTCTAGAAGTGCTGCTAGCTGGCTCATGCATAGGTCATTTGGTGTGTATTTAAAATGGTTTATTTTTTCAAAAGTTTGAAGCTTAAGTTACTGTCAGAAACAATCAAAACCTGATGCACTTAGCCCTTTGATTCTAGCATTGGTCCTTCAACCCTTTCACATATGAATGGCTTTCACGCACGAGTAGCTAGCAACACCAGAGCTGTGTGTGCCTCTTTGAGGCAGCAGCTTTAGATTGGCTTTCAGGGCTGTAAGCACAACATGTCCTGGGCTTCACCCAAAGCAGGATGGACAGCAGGTTGAGGGGAATGATTCTGCCCCTCTGCTCTGCTCTGGTGAGACTCCATCTAGAGTGCTGCCTCCAGCTCTGGGGTCCTCAGCACAGGAAGGACATGGACCTGTTGGAGTGAGTCCAGATGAGGGCCACCAAGATGATTAGAGGGATGGAGCACCTCTCCTATAAGGAAAGGCTGAAAGAATTGGATTTGCTCAGTCTAGAGAAAAGAAGGCTTCTGGGTGACTTAATTGCAGACTTCCAGTACCTACAAGAAAGAGAGCATTTGCAAGAGCATGAAGTGACAGGACAAAGGGGAATAGACTCAGACTGAAAGACAGTAGGTTTAGATTAGAGATTGGGACGAAATTCTTTACTGTGACAGTGGCACTGGAACAGAACATGTTGCCCAGAGAAGTTTTGGATGTCCCATCCCTGGAAGTGTTCAAAGACAGGTTGGATGGGGCTCTGAGCAACCTGATCTAGTGGAAGGTGTCCCTGCCCAGAGCACGACAGTTGGAACTAGATGATCTTTAAGGTTCCTTCCAACCTGAACCATTCTATGATTCTGTGAAATCATGTTTAGTGTCTTGCACTGCTGCTGTTTATTGTTCAGAAATTGTCTGACAGGCACCTCCTGCTTGGAGGACCTAGTCATTTGAGGAGAGACCAACTAATAAACAAGTTTAGCAGCATGTGTTTTCTTCTCTTCAGCAGCATTCAGCAATAGACATTCTTCATGCACGATATATGGTGATGAGTAAAGTGTCGTTCTGCCAGCTCCATAGCTGACTTCAGTTTGCTCCTCACTAAGAGGTCTCTGGTGGGTCTAAGCCAAAAGCTTCATATTTACGTTTTTATGAGTCCTTGGGCAAAACTCCCACAGATTTCAAAGAGAGTTTTGGTTAAGGACTCAAGGGGTTAATTTTGCATGATTCATATAATTTGCTTTGCTGCTGCATTTCTCTCTAACTAGGCAAATGGATTTGGTTTCATCGCTGCAATAAAGAAAATAATATTTTTTGACTATATGTTGGTTTTGATTTCAGGAAACAGACTTTGTTTGCTTTGATGGCGGAAGGGATGATTTTGATAATTATAATGTGGATGAGCTTTTGAAGTCATTGCAAGAGATGATAGCAAGTGAAGGGGAAACTGAACAGAGTGATCCAGGGGCAAAACCAGCTGAAGGAAAGGAGAGGGATAAGGAGATCGAACATGTTGATAGAGTAAAGTCCCTTGGTGCTTTGGAGACAGACAGTTCTGAGCGAAGCATTGAAGAAGACCAAGACCAAGTCTTGACAGACAAAACAGACAGTTCTGTTACAGAAGGAACTGAAAATACTGGGAGAGACTCCAGTATCAATAGACACAAAGAAAACTCTCAGGGAGATCAAATTGCAAATGAGCACTTGAAAGGAATGCTACATGGAAAACTGAAAGGGCTAGAAAGTGAAAATACCAAAAACATTAGTATTCCTCAGGGTGAAACCAGTCAACTTGACCAAGAGAATGAAGAAGTTAATGCCTATACACTTTTAAACAGAGAGCTCTCTGTGAACTTAAAAACAAACTTTGGCTCAACTGCTGATGCTATTGTATCAGATGATGAAGTGACTCGCCTTGTTACATCACTGGAAGATGATTTTAGTGAAGATTTGAGCATTAATCCTCATGATGTAGAGGAGGAGCCAGACTTTGCAGATCAGCCAGCAGAAATCCCTCTGCTGTCTTTTACAGCAGAGGATGAAATTACATCCCCAGCAGATTTAGAAGGTGATGGAAATCATGACATTGAATCACAAAATCATGAACCTGATGAAGATGCAAAGGGTGCTACAAAGCTAAATAACCAAAGAGACAATGAACCCAATTCAGATGCATTAATTCTTAAGGATGCCTTCAGTAAGATCAGGGAGTCAGGGGACAGTATAAGTGTGGGTAGGTCCGAATCTAAACAACCGAAAGAGAAACAGGATGAGGCGGTGCTAATTGGCAAAAGAGAAGCACCAGCAACAACTCAACCTGAGGATCTCTCCAAAGAACTTCTTAGAAAGGAACCTGTAGGTACAGGTGATCTAGGTTCAAAAGAAGAAACAAACAAAGCTGAACAGTTTGAAGACCAGCTCACCGATGGAACAGAGTCACTTACAGAAGAGCTGAAGACTACAGCTGTGCCTGATCCTCATGCTTTGCCTTCTTCAGGAGATGATCTGGAGTCCAAATCAGTTGTTAAAAATCAGCAAGACTCTTTAAAACCATCTGGTGAAGATAGCAACAAAAGTCCTGAAAGAGTGCCACTTGTTCAAATAGAGAAAGGTGAGAAAAACTTTGAGCATGATACTTTGGGTGAGGTCTTGGAAAATGATTTAAATCATAAAAGGTCATGGGAGAAAACAAAGGAGAAAAGAAAAGCTGAAAACAAGCCTTTGGCTGATGTTCCAGCCAAACCAATAGAAGAGGTAAAAAATACATCTCAACATGACATAGGAGATACTGACCTCTTCAGAAAGAAAGTGGAGCGTGGAATGCCCACTATGGAGAAAGTGCTTTTGGGACATGAAGAACATTTGAAACAAACAGGGGAGACCAATCATGAAAATCAAAAACCTGCTTCTCCTAATAAAGAACCAGAAATGAAGAGGAGAAACATGGAAGAAAGCCCTGCAGGGGAAGGAGACCCAAGCCATAAAGTAGCTGTTGAGCAGCCTAGGCCATGGGAAAATGAGACTGAGTATTCGGAGGCAGATGTGAAAGAACTTTCAAGAAATCCTGGCAAGATGCCAGTACTTGAAGAAAGCATTGAGAAAGGTTCCCCTAAAGAAGAATCAGAAAGCTCTATGCAGAATGCTAATACTGAAAATCTTGTTCAGCAAGGAGCAGCTCATACTGAGGATGTAGATTCAGACAGAAATCTTGGTATAGATTTAGCTAAAGAAAGAAAACCAAGATCAGAATTGCAATCTGAAGAGCCAGATGCTGAGGATGAGCCTGACCTGAAACAAATAGAGGATGAGCTGCTGGAAGATGAGAATGCAGTAAGTGCAAAGCTGTCACAAACTAAGGCTGCAAATGTGCAGGGTGATGCATTAAATGTTGAAAACACAAATTCTGAATTGGAAGGACTAAGTGAAGCTGTTGTGGGAACCCTAAATCCTACTTACAAAACAGGAGAGGAAACAACCTCATTTTCTAAGGAGGATAAAACCCCAATCATCATGCAAAATGCAAATGAGACTGGCAACAAACAGGTGGATGTACCAGTGAGAAAAGATGCTAAATTGGATGAGATGGAACTTGTCATGGAATATGATGAGTCTTCTGAAAATGAGGAACCATCAGCTGTGGAAGGACATAATTTCCAGCCTCCTGACACAGAAGACAGCAATGACTTTGACCAAAGAAAAGATCACCTCCCAGAGGGCATTTCACAGGAAGACTCAAAAGAGGTGCAGAATGTAGAGCATACAAGAAATGACCACCAGCAACCTGCACATTTCCCCAGCCCTGCTGACAGTTCAGCGGCCACAAATGACACTCTAGCAGACTTCAGTGAGTCTGTGAAGCAGCTCACAATAATGAGAGATTTTCTTGATGAGAAGCGTGTGATGCGTTTACAGAAGTACCTTGGGCTCCAACACGTGGTTAGGATAGAAGCCATGTTCCATGACATGAAGGTAGAGATGGAGCTTGCCTGGAAGGCAAGCCAGAGTAACGAAGATATAGAAAAAGCTTTGGACCAAATACTTGAGTTTTCAGAATCAAACATTATGGATGTTGTAGGAAAAGTTCTGGATTCCAGAGCAGCAGAAAACAAAGAGGAGGTGGTGAAAGAGATGGATTTGTATGATGAGGAGAGTGCACTGATGGATGATATCCAAGAATTGATATATTCTTTAAGGAGTAAATATTCGTCTGCTAGTGAGAGTGCCCCACTTGCATCTGTTCCAGAACAAGATGACCAGCTGTACATCCAAGGTAGGATGTTAAACCAGTCAGTAAATAGATGAAATGGAAGTAAAATCCTGTACCAAGCAACACTATGTAACCCAGAGAAGCTTTAAGAGTGTGTGAGAGCAGAATCCAAAGAGGTATTGTGAAATCTTCTGCAATTTTGCTTATTTTTAATGCATGTTTTCAGCATTGTGATGAGAGGCTCAGGGACAAATACTGAGAGAAAATGTTGAGTGCAGCGTGTCTGTTCTTATGGGCCAAGCTCTGTGTAAGGTAAGTGGGATCCATGCATGGATATGGCTAGAAGGAGCCATTCAGGACATGTGTATACCTCTTTAAGCAGGGATTCATGTATACTAATGTGCTGAATTTTCTCGAGGGTTTAAAGCAGGCTTTTTCTGAACTAGGTAGCACCTAGTTACGAGAAATCCAGTGATTAATGCAAAGGTCAGGTACTAAATCCATGCACACAAAATCTCGGGTGTGCCGATAATCATATTTTTGCCCACATTCATAAAAGAGCATGTAGGCAGAAAACTGAACAAACAGATTTTTTGACTGAGCAAGAACCAGAGATAGTCTGCTGCAAGCTTGTTGGGTTTTCTAATTAGTGTGCAAGATGTTAAGATAGACTCCTAGCAAGGCTCCTTTTACAGTACTACATGTTAAGTATGTGATATCTGATTAGGTCACAAGTGCTGAAAATATTTCTCCTTGCAATGTTTCACTGCAAGGTCAGTGGTTGATATCTTGCATCAATTTCATACAAACATTTAATGAGATGTTACTGAAAGCTGATGGAGAATATATTGGAAGCAATACACAAGCTAAAATGTTTAAAATTGTCAAGAAATCTATGTCAAATACAGTATTTCACTGAAGGCAGCTATGGGTAAGAAATACACTTTAGCTCAGTGCTTAATTCATGACTTGGTCTGTCACAGATGGTGCAGAAGAGGCTGAATATGACAGAGTTTCCATCAGAAACCCGAATGCCATTGATGAGGGCAATCAGGAATTCCAGCAGCCTGAAGATAAGAGGCCAGAGCAGCCTATTGAGGAGGAGGAGAGGGTTTTTAATGTTGCACCTGAGCATGAAGAGGCCAACTTCTCAGACAGTGGAGAAGCTGAAGAAGGGTATGATAGCGAAAGAGGATCGCTGCTGGAAGACACTTCGTTTGAGTCAGCTGATGCAGGACAGAGTGCCAGGGAACACATTGCTGCAGGTAACCATTTGGAATTGGGCTGTTTTGCTCTTTTGCTCTTGAAGAGGTGCACGGTTGAATGTATTTTAGGCAAATACCAGGGTTTTCCACTGACAGTTTCATGGTGTGTTGCTATAATCCTAACGGCATTCCCGGCCCTGTGACAGTCCCTCTAGTGGCAGCACTGAATCGTTAACTTACCTCAGTGGGTTGGTGGTTCTTCTATGGTTTCCCCAGTGTAGTAGTAAGAAAAGTGCTCCTGTGAGCATCATAGTCAGAGCTTTGCTCGGGCTGCTGGACTGTCTCGGGATGGCAGTGGATAAAGAGAAGAAATCATTGGAAGCCTACCATCAGCCCAGCTTTCTGCTTCCTGGCAGGGGCTGACAGGGCATATGCTATAGTCAGGGCTGCCAAGAGAATCATGTGCTCTCTCTTCTTGTCCTTTTTAGCCTGTGTCTCTGGGATATATTACTTTCTAGGAAAGATGGTGTGTAGCTTCCACCTCAAGCAGTTCAATAATTTCTGACTAAAGTGTGTTGGAGTAGGAGAAATGTTTGACTCTATTGTGCTGAGGTCATCTCCCTCTGGAGTAAGAGTGCTGCTCTATGCTGACTTGTCATTATGCCAAGGAGGAATCCTGTTACTGTCATGTCCCCCAGCTCTGTTTTGGCATGGAACTATCTTTGACTTTATTCTCGGTGCTAAGCTCAGCTTTGGTGTTCTGCATTCACCTCTGGTTATGCTTAATCAATCTGTGTCCACTGAGCACATCTTGCTTAGCTTTACCATGCTCATTGCCATGTGCTTTTGAGCAGCTTCTAAGATCTGAGGGACACTCTAGGTTGAATGCAAAGATACCTAATGAATTTTAATTGGCTGGTGGATAGCTCATGTGGTTAAGCAGTCAGATGCTCAGCTGTATTTCAGACCATCTTCTGTGCTTTCCTTAAAGGAGGAGGTTACATGCTGTTTGCCAGGAATTCCTGTGAGGGGACTGCTACAAGTGCTGTGAAGCACCAGGACAGGTGTTTGTAGAACCGCTGGTCATGGCAGCTATTGCAGGGTGTACCAGGCTGGGCAGGGGGCTGTGGAGTCTGCTGGCCTGGACTCGGGGCAGCGGGAGGAAGGGGGCAGGATTCAGGTCAGCGTAGAGATGAAGGTTCTTTAAAGCTTCAACAGCGCTGGAAACTAATCGGGAGGATTATAGGTTAGGAATTGACTGCTGCCCACTCGCTGCTGGAGGAGCTGTGAGCGAGCTCAGCAAAGCGACACTGGCGCTGCAGGGAAGGACGGCGCTGTCCGTGGATTATCAGCGCGCCTTCCGAGGACTCGTGTCCCCTTTCCCTGGGGACGCATTAGTTGCGATCTGGCGCGGGTGCGGGCGCGGAGCCAGCGCTGCCCGCCCGGCGAGCTAACCCCGCGCGTCCCTCGCTCCTCCCCCAGGCGCGGACGCAGG